CCAGCAGTTATTCAAAAACGTCCTTTGAAGGACTCTGGTCTTGAGCAGAAGCGGTCGCTTTCCGCACCAGGAGAGCCATCTGTGACGGGATCGTCCAGGCCCTTGGCCAGCCTGGCCCTGCAGGTGTCATCGCTCAGTTGGGTCTCGAGTACCTCATGGGAGAAACACACAAGTGACCAGTCAGGCCAGCGCCCAGCCCAACGCCAAGACTGAAGGGCAAAGCCTGCACAGCTGTTGTGTCACAGGGCAGAGGAGCGAGAGTTGAGGAGAGAAGCTGGGAATCTCAGTGGTTGCTAGTGCTTAGGAAATACCCTGCATGAAGCTGTGGGACTGGGGGTGACAGAGAGAAAAGAAAAGATTGCTGATTGTCCTGAGCACACGCAGTTTGCTTGCGTGTCCTGCTGGCTGCTGCGTTTTCATGACAATGACGCTCCTCGGGGAGCAGACTATATGTTTCTGCTTGAGGCGGGGCGTTGGGGGCAGGTCCCAGCTGGTTCCTTTGCTGGCCGCTGGCGGGTGAGGCTTCTGCCATCTGTAGCTGCCCATGGGCAGTCTTTGGGGTCTTGACTTGTCAGAATGAAGACATAAACAAACAAACAGACTTCCTTCTGGGTTCTGATTCTACTGATTTTCCTAAACCAAGATGTGACTGGCTTGCCCAGTGCTGGACAGAGAACGTTGGTGTCCACGCATCGAAGCTGAAGTCAGGAGACGGAGGGTTCCTTCCACGTGCAGGGTTCATCTGGCCGACACCGCCCCTGAGCTCCTCAGTGGGTGCCCTTCCCACGAAGCCGATGGCACAGTCGGCTCAGTAATGCCGCCCACTCGGGCAGAGGCCGCTCTTTTGTCCCCAGGAGCAGAGCCAAGTTCAGGTGGAAATTACTGTTTTGTTAGACCTCCCCTGCCCCCCAGCTCCATCCGTGAAGACCAGAGGGGCCTGGCCCTCTGCTAAGACTGGCCCAGGTTGCTCACTGGACCCGCGAATCCCAGGGTCGGGCTTCCTCGTGAGCCGGGGGAGTGTGCCCCTGGGGTCTGCGCCTATGAAGACAGGAGCTGGAGCCATGGGGGCCCTGTCTCCAGGACGTGCAAAAGCCATTGGGACCAAAGGGAGCCTAGTCCGTGAGGAACAGAGCCAGGAGAGGAGGACAGCTCCAAGGAGCCTGAGCCCCGACTCCCGCGTCCCCAAGGCAAGCCCCGCGAAGCCCGTGCAGGTGGCACAGCGGGGCCCGGCCTCTGGGGAGGCCAGCTCCGTTCACGTCCGGGACACACAGCGCCCCACACAGGCCCCCCTCCTGCCGGTCCCCGGTAGCTCAGCCCTGGGGGGCTGCTGGTGCTTTTCGGTCCAGCTCTTCATCACGTGTCCCTACCCTTTCCTGTAGGGCCACTTGGAGCCCCGCCCCGCGCGCCGCGCCGCGCCGCCGGCGTCCTGCCGTGCACTGCCAACAGCCAGCCTTCCCGGCACCCGGGACGCACGCTCTGACGGGACGCACGCTCTGACGCAGCCGCTGTCACCGCCCCTTAGCTTCTCCCCCAGAGCTCCATCCCTCTCCTTTTGACCATTCTCTTCTGCTGGCCTGGACATACGTGCATTTCCTCAGAAAGACTGTAGGGCAAGAAGACCCTCTGTCCACCAACTGCTGTGGTCTGGTACCGCAGTCCACCCACCACAGGCCCTTCATCAATATTGGCTTAAATAAAGCAAGTAAGAATTCCCATTTCTCTGACAGATCATTCTGGACTAGAGGGAAGAAAGTGAGTGAATTCTGTTTTATTCCTTTGCTGGAGAATTCTGCACCTGACTTCTCTTCCCCTTCACGATACGCTTCTTCCTCTCTCTGTATGTAATGGCATTCCTGTATAACCAGCGCCCTGCAACGTGATCGCTGGGTGGGACGCGGGTGGGGGGCCTGGCCTTCCCTTACGCCCCATTGCCTTCCCTCCAGCCAACACACACACATTAACAACCTGAGTTAGAGCAAGACACCGCTTTCTCTAGGGAAACGGAGGGCGGGGGTTCTCCTTCTTAGAGCATTTATAGTTGACTCAGGTAACTAACAAATTGACTTACTAACAAATGCTTGTTTGACACTAAATGGCAGGCGCTGTTCAGAACACTCTAACTCTATGAATTAGTTTCTCCTCATGGCAGCCTTAGCAGGGGTTGAGAACTACAAGGACTGCCCTCAGCCTCGTTTATACATGAGAACATGGGGACACGGGCGATTAAGGGACTTGCTCTTGGTCACAACACGACGGTGGCAGAGCTGGAATTTGAAATAGGCAGGCTGGCTCCGGACCCCGCGTCCCAGCCACGGCGCCCTCCCCCTCTCAGTGTGACCAGGGCGGGGGTCTGCGCTGCCCGTCTGCCCTTTAGGTCACCGCTCTCGCCATCTCGGCCTCTCCAGAGCAGGAAGTCCCTTTGACCTGACCTGCCTAGCAACATGGTGGCATGTGCTTAGTGGCCCTGGTCTCATTTCATTATCTATGGCTTGAATATAGGTTTGTTTACATTATTCTATGCAATTAATTGCTCTTGTTGTAATCATGCCCATCCTCAAATTTGGCTCCTCAAAATATACTTTCAAATTACCTAGGAAGCATGCCAAGAATTTACTCTAATTGCACATTATACTGTACCAGTTTTGAGTACTAGCGATGACTCAAAGGCAGAATGTATGTTATTTGAAATCATTAAATTGATAGTAAATAAAATGTGGTTTTTCTCAAAAGAGAGAGAAAATTGCACGTCTGTCTTATCTCTTGGTTGCTCTTCCTAGGTGTCTAGGAGTATATGGGACAAACCACAATTTCTAGACTTTTTCTCAAATTAAGTCATTTTTTTTTTTAGCAGCTCATAAACTGCCACTTACCGTTGAACAAAAAAGAACCCGACTTAAACCCTACTCTGTGGGTTCACCTTCAGTGAACAGAACAAAGTATTCAAAAACACATGGAGGAGAGCTGTTTGATGCAAGGGTTATTCATAGGACAGTGTTTGGGTACTTTTTGGAGCCAATTCTAGTGGCCTCAGAATAGTTCCAAATTGAATTCCAGGAATAAACTGTTTATAAATAGTGAGCATAAAAAGCGAACGCGTTCATCCCGGCCGCTCCTGCATGTCCTGCCAATGGCCTCCCTCTGCAGCGGCTGGGTCCTCGCAGCAGTGGCTCATTGGTTCGCTGGTTGGCTTACCTTGGGGTCTCAACCTCGTCACACCCAGCGCCCGATTTTGTAACAAATATCGTAACCCCTTTCATAATCCTAAAGTGAAATTCATAGATAATAAAAGCTCTATACAAAAAAAAAAGGTCAAAAAATAAATATAATGCCTAGCAAGAAAATAATTTGTAATGCTATAACTATTTTAATGTGTAAATGCCTTGGTAATATTAAAAAGGAGAAGTATAGTTAAGAGACATTGGTACCCAATGCGGAGTCGCCATAATGTAATCTCTACAAGGACAGTCTAGACTGATGCAGAGCGGTGCCGGTAAGCAAAGACCGTGGACGGCCCTGGAGGCCATGCTTCAGAATTATAAACAAACGGCAAAATTTCTCAGCAACGATGTATAAACTTCCCCCAGTATATGTGGTAGCTCTGCACCCGGAACACTCCTCACATGTTGAAATTGAACAAGCTGCTCTGGGCTTATGTGCAAATGGAGTTAGCAGCTGAGCTCCGATAATTACCAGCAGGTTTCTCCCTTGTAACTGTGTGACAAGACGCTTGGAAGTTTGGAGGACACAGGGGCTCGGAAGTTTGGAGGACAACGGTTTGAAACTTGTCGTTTGCTGAGCTGCCCAGAGCACGGCTCCGTTCAGCCCTCCCAGACCTGCCGTCTGAATGTCACTGGTGTTCTCAGCCATTGTGTCACCTGGCTGCCACAAGCTTCCCAAAACGCCTTCCATTGGGTGATACCCCCACACCCCACTGACAGCCACTGCTTTGGTTAACGCCTAGTCTTAGGTTTAGCCCCCAATAATTATGTTGATTTATTCTCCTGCCTTTGTGTAGTCCGTGCCAACTAAAGACAGGTCTACCGTAAAATCCTCCATAACTGGGCTGTTGGGTTGGCGTAATTGGGTCATATGTGGGGACTGCGAGTTCCATGAGAGCAAGGGCTCAGTTCGTCCAGCGTGCAGAACACCTAGGACCCAACACAAGTCCGCGCTTCACTAAGTCTCGCTTGAATGAGTAATTGCGGGGTTGGGCTCTTGGTTAGCGAAAAGATATATCCTATTTGAAAGCGGTAGTTGTATTACTTTCAGATATATCCAGCACCTACATGCTCACCAGGGAGACTGGTTAAGGATGATTTTAAAAAATACCATTTCTGTTGCGACATTGAAATTTTTGAAAACATCTGCAACCGGAAGACCCAGAATCTTGATGTCATTCTGAAAAAGAACGTGTGGAGGACCCCCGTGAGCCTTGACCTTGGCTTCAAAGTTTTGCTTAATCTTCACAGTGGTCTGTGAGGCAGCTGTTACTAACCCTGTTTTTACAAGTGATGATGTTATACCCAATAAGACAAAGAATCTGCCAAAAGTCAGGCAGTTGGTGCACAGCAAAACAGCACTTGAACTTGAACTGTCTGATTTCAGAGGCTTCTCTTTCCCCAACAAATCATGCTGCCCCTCTCTTAAGTGAGGGAAAGTGAAGCTTCCCTTCAGTCCACATCTGAAGGGCCGTGAATTATGAGGACAGGAGGTCCACCTTAGTACGGTTCTGCTCAATATGTAGTTCCACGTGCCATGTCCATTAAATTTCAGTGTCCTCGTGGGTCAGTGATTACTCCATGGATCCTGCCCTTGGTTGGCTCCCAGCATTCAAGCTCTTGTGTAAACTGACATTAGTGAGAATCCTAAGGACAGGGACCCGGGACGGTCCCCGTTGTCTTCAGGCCTCCAGGATCTAGCTGGGTGCCCGGCACAAAGTGGACGGATGTTCGGGAGTGTTTGCTGAGCCTACTTTAACTGAATGATGTCTCTCCTTTTAGGCCTTGGCCTTACACAATATTTCAGCGAGGCTTTGACCTGGTTTTGGGAGAACAGCCTTCTGATAAGATATTCAGGTGAGTGGCTGTCTAGGGACTTGCCTCCGTATGTCTTCAAGACCCATGTCCCCATTCCCCACTGAGCTTGCTTTCCCAGTAGGAAAGTGTAAGATGGTGAACGTTTGTATCCGTCCCTTTGCTCTCCCAGTAACAAAAGCATTTGTCCCCCGGACTGTGCCCGGTGACAGCAGGGTGGCTTTCGCAGTCATGCCGATTCTGTCTGGGTCCTGGCTTCCTTCCTTGCCTGCTCTGCAAACCCCAGTAATTCACTAAACCCCTTGGCGCCTCCAGTTTCCACATGAGTTAAACGGGGCCGCATTGCCCGCCTGTGCCGTTGTTAGGAGGAAGACAGGAGGCAAGGCAGGGAGGCCCCGGCACAGAGGCTGTCACTGCGCATGTGGCCCACTGAGCCTTCTGCTTCTCCACTGTGCGCCTGTCCAATTCACACCGTCCTCACCGAGTCGTAAGTTGCTCAGAAGGAATCTCTCCCTTCCCTGCCTCCCCCTTCTCAGCTCTACTTCATTATTCCTTTATCTACCACCCTCCTGATTACATCGGCTGTTTCCACTCCCTGTGAAATTTCTACCTACATCCCTGGGCATAGCACGTATTAGAAGTGAACAAGCAGAGGACGAACTTGGATTCTGGCCATGAACTATTGGCTTTTCATAAAGGTTTAATTCACGCCGGGCTTTAGCTGGAACACATCTTTATTTCTAAGCTAAGATCTGATCATCCATTTATTTCGTCCATTTATCCCCCCCCCGAGCCGCATTTGCCGAGTACCCACTAGGTACCAGGGACTGTGCTCGACCTGGCGGTGTGGCTAGGAATGCATCACCCTCCACAGGAGTGCCCTCTGGTGGAGGAAGTAAATAGTCCTGCTGGAGTGTCTGCAGGCAAAGGATGCGCTGAGCTACCACCTGGCGTTCCAGAGGAGGAGGAGGGGTGAGCGGCGGGGCCAAACTCACTTCCTTTCACGGCCCGCACACTGCGTGCTGAGCTCACATAATCACTGCTGCCTTTCCAGCTGCCTCCCCCAAACCCTCCTGCCAGCCAGTCCTGGCCCAGGTGTTAGCTCTGCTCCTGCGTTTGCTCCTGGAGGTGGACTGGACTTGGCCGCGGCAGTGCTCTCCTACGGCCCACTCTTAGCAAGTGTGCAGATTTACAGCGTGGCCGTTTTGCGGGGCCTCCCCTTCCCCTGCTCTCTCCTGATTCTCTCTCCTGGGCCAGGCGGAGTCACGTTTGGCATTGGCCGCAGGCTGCTTTTGAGGGTTTGTGCTACCAGCGAAGTCAGCTATAGTCCTTAGACTCTGACTTGGACATTTAAACTTTGCCGCATGATTTATCCTTTGGCTGACTCCCTCCCCATTTGCTTCACTGCTGGCCTGCCAGCGCCTTCCGAGGGAGATAACCACAAGGCAGATGGGGAGAGCCTGGTGGAGCGGGGCTGATGACCGCGGATGTGTTCCCACTCCCCTAAAAGACAGAAGCGAACCCTCCGAAAAGCAAGGTCCTTCGTGAAATTGCTGTTAGAGCAGAACTTGCACAGAAACTGTTTCTGTCCCCACATGCACCGTTGACTCTGCAGGTTTGTTAGCTGCCAACCGGATGGGCCACCGGAGCTCTGCGGAGGGGACCGGCTGTGTGGTTTGACCCCGGCAGCCCGCCCTCTCGGGAGCCAATGTGTTAATCAATAAGTGATTAATCATTTTGGTCGCTGGCATGACAGTAACAAATCTCTCCGATGAAATCAATGGGTCATGATTTCCTGGTTTCAGGTATTAGGAACTTGAACCAAAACCACTCTGGGAGCTGAGCAAACCAACTGCCAGTGGCCTGGAAAATCCCATGACCCGGTCAGCGAGCGTAATTTCTTAAAGAAGCCCGTGACTATTCGTTTGCCGCTCTGCTCACCAGTGATTTCTGATGAATTCCAAGCCAGTGCCCGTTTCCCGGGACTATGGAATATAATTTAAATTTTGACATTCAACTCCTTCCACAGTCGAATGCCAATATACAACTCCCTCTTAATAGTCTGCTTGTCTCCTATAGAACCTTCCATTCTCAGCTGCCTTCTAAGTGATGCTCTGCTCCCAGCACTTGAATATTTTGTTCTCTGTGCATTTGCCCCTACGCCCTCCTCCAGCCAGAATGCACGTGCTCTTCCTGGTGCAGGCACCGCCCGCTGCCGTGGTCTGCACCACGTCTCAGCTACACTCAGCGTCTGCGGAGCATCTGCCATCATGCGGCATGGTTTCAGGGGCTGTAGCTGTGACCAAACAAGCAAGACTGAGGTAGTCCCCAACCTCACGGGATTTGTGGTCTCATCCAAGCATTATGCTCCCGCCTTGACCCTCCAGGGTGAGAAGACCCCTCACAGTGTTTTAAAATGACCAGTGATCTTCCCTGGCACCAACCAGTTCACCCAGAATTTCTGGGAGGGGGGACCAGGGCTTGAGTGGTTTCTTAGAGCACCACGGTAATTCTCAACTGCACTCAGGGCTGAGACACACTGCTCTCGAGCGCCTTCAATCCACAATGAGGTCTCCTCCCTCGAAATTTCTGTAACACACTGGATGTAATACTTATTTGTCAGTGATTTTATTTCATATTTACTTTAAGTTGCCTATTTGTTTCTACAATGGAATGGTTGTCTTACTGAGGGAAAGAGTAATATCGTATACGTCTTTAATATCAAATTTTGAACACAGTAAGTCTTCAACAAATACCTGTAGATGATCGTTTCAGCTATTTCCTAAGGACTTGGAACCAGGATAGGGGAAGATCTGCTCCTCAACCTTACCTTGGTGATATGCAATCCTGAAGAGTCTGGGAAGGTCTAAGCTATACTCAGAGGGTCCAAGGAGAGAAACTGAGTCTTCTAGTTAAGCCCAGTCCGGTGCTGAAGATGCCCTTTTCCTGGTGGCTCAAGTCACCCCGCTGCAGTGGCAGGCATCACTTCAGACCAGATTTCTACCTTAGAAACCCTCCTCCCGAGCGTGTGCCTGCCCACCAGGGACCCGTGCCTCCTCCCGGAATGGCCGGCTCTGGGACAGAGGGGAGACGCCAGGCCATGAGCGATTTGTCCACTTTCCCATGTTCCCCTGCATGCCCAGCCACAGTAGGGCTGCTCTCTGGGTAGCATTTGCATCTGAGCAGAAGTTTCAAGCTCTGGTGTAACAAGGCCGTGCGCAGGACTCAGCCTACCGCTGAGCCACCAACTGTGCTGGTCCCCGCCAGCTGTCGTGAAAGAAGGCCCAGCTTGGGAAAGCATTCCAGATGCTCACCCATCTTCTCTTGGGTGGCTTTTTGAAGCTGTTCCTGCCAAATCGGCATGAATGAGGGACAGATGAGATTTCAGGACACAGCTTTCCTCTGACAGCTTGTGCTATATTTGGTGTTCGGAGTTACTAGATTTTGCAGATAAAAGGAAATTTTAGAATTTCATGGGCATGAGCCAGCATGGGCTGGAAAGCCGCGGAGAGCCACGCTGGAGAATCAGACCCACCCGGCTCTTTCCCAGTTAAGGGAGGTGACCGACGAGGGGCTCCTGAATGTCTTGATCTACTAGGAGACAAATGTGCAAAAGGGGGCCCAGCCTCGAGGGCTGTTGGGAGGCCGAAGGAGACAGGTCCACCGAACACTTGCCCTCTGAGAGTTCTCAGTAAAGGCGAGTCTCACCCCACGCCTCACTTGGCTTTCCCTGCAGGGTTGCACCTTGACCCTGCCAGAGGGGGAAGATGACACTGTCTTCCTTATGAACTTGGCACAGTGTCATGTCTCAGAAGCTGCTGTGCCCTTTGGAAGTTCTTCCCAATGCTAAGCCCAGATCCTCCTTGGCCCTTAAATCCATTCCAGCCCCGAGGTTCACCCACATCTTGCTCTCAAGGAGGGACCGTCTTCACCACTGCTTCTGCCTCTATGTTTGAAATCAGAGATCACCCTCAGAAACCTGGGCAAACCAAAGAAAGGTCTGCTTATTGATTAGTCCATAAATATGTATACAGTGATCTTTTTGGGCCAGAGATGGTGTCAGAGCACTGTCCTCTGCCATCCAAGAGAGCACATTCTTCTGAGTGGTGGACACCTGAGAAGATGGGCACAATTCATCACCTCAGAGCAGCCAGGGACCGAGTGCATGTGCACAGAGGAGAGAATCCTTTGCTCAGTGTGACAGTTGAGTGTGAAGGTCCTGGAGGGCTTCCTGGAAGGGGCGGGACTTGAACGGAATCTTAAAATGAGTGGGACTCCAGGAAAGAAGAAAGGGGAGAAAATTCAGGAAGAAGAAATACTAGGAACTAAAGCAAAGAGGTGACAGTTGAGGGCATCTGTAGGGACTGGAGTCAGATTGCACTGTAGGGGCACGAAGTGACATCTTTGGAGAAATGGACCTTGTTCTGTGGGCCCAGGTACCATTAACAGTTTCACTTGAGGACAGATATAGTTTGCTTTTTCCTTGGAAATATTACTGCGTGCGGAGGAGGAAGGGAAGACGGAGGTAGATGGACATGGACCGCTCTCTTCCAAAAGAAAAATTCACCATCAGCAAGTGCTGGAACCGCCAACCATTCCCTAAAACCTGTTACATAAATTCTAAGCTACAGGCCACAGATTTGCTGCTGGGCCTCAGTGCGAAACGTCTAATTTTAAAACCAAAAGAGAAAACAAAAACTCTGTGTCCCAATAAACGCTCTCCTCCCTGGCACCATTAAAACTTGGACATGTTCTCTGTGAAACAGTCCGAGACACGCAGCATCAGCGGCCCCGTGAAAATGTTGCCATTTCAAGAACGTTCTTTACAAAATGCAGCGTGAACGCAACAACTTGCACATTGCTGCCTCCATCCCACATTTACCCTCAAAATCCCAGAATCCAGGCACCTTGGGGCAATTCCTTGCCCTAAACAGGGGCTCCGTGATCTTGCCGGATGACGCGCGCATCAAAAGGGCTGTCAGGCCTACAAGTTTGCCAGCTGCTTACATAAGAGTTGAGTGGCGGGTCTCACCTGCTGTTCCCCCAGCGACGGGCTTCCCTCACCTGGTGCAGCCCCCTGCCTGCACACACCTTGCCCACCTCTTGTCTCAGGCCCCTGTGGATGGGAGAATTGAGCGCCTCCTTCAGAGCTGCCTAATGCAGAGGTTGGCCCCGCAGGCCAGAGAAGTGAGGGGCCAAGAGCAAGGCGGTGAGTGGAGGAGGTCGCCCAGACCCTGGCCGCCTCCCGCTTGCTCAGCGTTTCTGCCTCTCCCGGGCCCCTGTTTTCTCACAGCTGCCCGCGTGCCAAGGACTGACGTCAGGGAGTGGGCGGGCCTCGGTCAGCGGGCGCGCTCCGTGGCCAGATTCTAGAGAGGACTACGTTTCTCCTACGAGAGCTCACACCACCTACCCGGCTTTCGGGCATCTCGGGGCGCCTGCGGGTTCTGGAGAGAAAGGAGCGGGTTCGGAAGTGGTTCTCTGGACCAGCATGCCCGTGGAGCCCTGCAGGGCTCTGCAGGGTGGCACGCACCCTCCTGCTGGGTGCCCCTCCCCCCACCAGGTTGGAAAGGGACACGCCCACCTGGCTGCCACAGCCCTGGGATGTCCCACCCACACTGGCTGATATCTGTAGACTAGGTTTGACTGTGAACACGGAGCCCTTGAATGCCTTTGAAGTAAAATGAATAAGTAAACAAATAATCTCTCACGGTCTCTCTAAGCTCTCCCTTGAAATGCTGATTTATTCTTTTATTCCTTTTAGCCTGTGTTACTGGAATGAACAAGTACCCAAATCTTCCCTAGCTCGAAAGTTAAGGCCATTAGCTGAGGGCAGGAGGAGGGCGCCAGAGAATACCTCTGGGCCTGTTTCTTTCATCCCCTCCTCTCCTGCTTGGCTCGGTGCTTCAGAGTCCCTGTCCCCGTCACTCAGAAGCCGGTAGGGGGGAGCGCTCCTCCTCCTCTCCTGGGTAGCATTCCTCCAGGCCCAGAGAGAAACCGTCACTACCGCTGCGCGCGTGAAAATCGAGGGCTGGGGCAGCGGGTGGCAGCAAGTCTTCCATTAAAACGCTTCCCGTTATATCCGACTTAAGGCAGGGCAAGCCCGGCTTCGGATCTGAAGGAATCTGGAACTCGGTTTCCTGTGACTTGATACAAAACAAACCGCTTCTAACAGCTGACGAGTGGGTGCCATGGCAGGGTGTGCGCGCGGGGGGCCCTCTGCCTCCCCCACACTCCATCATCTCACCCGCAAAGTGGCCATTGGCTCTCCTTTCTGCAGAGGACGCGAGGGCTGAGAAGGTGCCAGGTCCTCCCAGGGGGCGGTTGTCCCCCTGCCCTAACCACCTGGCGTTGGGTGTCCCTGCAGATTCACCTACACCCTTGGGGAGGGCATGTGGCTGCCCCTCAGCAAGAGCTTTGTGATCCCACCAGCCGAGCTGGCCATCAATCCCTCGGCGAAGTGCAAAACGGACATGACAGTGATGGAGGACGCCGTGGAGGTCAGGTGAGTCCAGCCTTGGGCTGCTGAGGCCCGGACCTGGCTGGGGAGGCTGAGTGAGAACCCGCCTGAAGGGCCGAGGTGCCGGGAAAGGGATCCTGACCAGCCGAAGAGAGAAGCTGGCGGGCTGCCTTCACATCCCCCCGCCCCGCCGTGCAGTGGCGGCATCCACTCTGTCTGGGTCCATATTGCACACCCCAGGGCTTGGGCATGGGGAGAGACCGTAAAAGTAGAACTGGTAAGCATTTCCCACATTCCCTGTGGACTGACAGGCAATAATATGTTAATTTCCTAGCCCAACTGAGACCTCCTTCTCTGACCAGGCGTTACAACCTTGGCTCGATTCCCAGATGTGGAGAATGTCTATAATTTGTCAGTCCAAGGCTCAGCATACAGTTGATCTTGAATTTTTGTGAGAGGAAGACGTGACCGGATTGGCTAGGCAGGCACGTGGAATGGGGCGCTGGCTGCTTGTTGCACGTGGCGTCCCCATGACTCTTCCCTCTCCCGCTGTTCTCCCCACAGAGAGGAGCTGATGACCTCGTCCTCCTTCGACAGCCTGGAGGTTCTCCTGGATTCCTTCGGGCCCGTGCGCGACTGCAGCAAGGACAACGGGGGCTGCAGCAAGAACTTCCGCTGCATCTCGGATCGCAAGCTGGACTCCACTGGCTGTGTGGTAGGTCTGCTCTGGCCAGCTCGTAACGGGGGCGGGAGTGGGGGCGCGGCGCAGGATCAGACACAGTGCCAACGTACAGAAGAGAGGGTCGAGAATAGTCCTCCCTCGTGGTGACCGCATCCAGGTTGTGAGATTTCTCTTGACAGAAGTGAGAAGCTAATCACCCATCAGTAAGTCAAGAAGTTTATACGGTGCACCTGCTCGGTGATCTGCAGCTATCCAAGAGAAATCTCACGAATTATAGACATTGATTCTTTCTCTCCTGTTGCAGTCTAGTTGGTGAGGGACACCCGCAAATGATCTGAGAAGTATTTAACTGCTTAACATTGATTATTGACTCTGATAGGAAATATACTATACTTACTCTAATAGGAAATTTTGGTGGGGGGAACTACCTGTGTCTAGAGTCAAATCACATTGTTTGTAATAGGAAAGTTTAGGAGAAACCTACTTGGGTAAATTATGCCAACAACGGTAGAGAAAAAATTAAAATACATCCTGTTTGAGGCCATGACAAGGAACCCCTACTTCACCAAAGGTGGCCGTCTATTTTGTTATGTGTGTGGACTTTGGCTACGTGTGAAATATGAGAAGCTGTGGACTAGAACGGCCGTGTGGACTAGAGTGGACTAAGTACCTCCCGTGCCGTGACAGGAGGCCTGGCTGGACCGGGCCAGTAAATGGGGACAGGAGCAGATGGAACCACACGCTGCTGGCGCGCCTTGATCTTGTCACTTTCATGCCCACGACACTGTTGTATGCTTCTAGCCCTTTCCTCTTTCAGGGGCAGGGAGATGCAACCCCCACAGGGAGGAGAGGAGAGGAGAGGAGAGGGAGCGGGCGGACAAGGACGGCGGGAGAGCCAGGCGTGGAGTTGGGCACGAAGGAGGGGGAGGCGGTTCACGGAGACACGCTGTTTGGCAGTGTCCCCAGGGCAGGGCCCGGAGCTCCCAGCCCTGGGGCGATAGGGGGCCTCGCCCTGCTTCCCAGCCTGGCAGTTATGCCCTCAGAAGGGCACCCAGAGCAGGGGCCAGCCGTGAGGATGCTGGGCCGGTCCCGGCACTCACACCGTCCTCTTCCCCGTCCCTGGGCACCTGCTCTGCTCAGAGAGCCGTTGTCCTTCAGAGAGGGACATGCACCTGGAGGCCAGGTGGGGCTCTCTCATCTCAGCCCTAAGGCCTCCCAGACGTTCTCAGATCGGGCAGAGTTGACAGGAGCCTGATGCCTCAGAGAAGGGGGAGAGATGAAGAAGAGAAAAAAGAGAGATGAAGAAGAGAAAAGAGAAAGAGAGAGAGCTAAGGGCCCGTGAGGCGGAGAGCCTGGCAGACCTGTCGAGGGAGGGGGCGGTTAAGAGGGCGGACTTTAAGGACACAGGCAGAGAAGGGCGCCCTCCCAGCTGAGTCTCCCAAAGGCCGTCTGGAGGTCAGTGCCCACCCCTTCCCTGGGGCTAGTCCCCTTCCAGGTGTCTTCGGCGATGAGCTCTTAACTCGGTCCCTCAGGAGGCACGTTCACTGTCTAATGCAGTCCCAGGCGAGACACTTTTATTAACTTACTTATTTATATTTTTATTTATTTTTTACTGTTCAGCCTGCATTTCTTCATCCAGATTTCAACCTATCGCTTGACACTCCTCTCTTAGGTCACTCTTCGTACTAAAACGCTGTTGATGCACAGGCGTGGGCATCCTTCCGCCCCCCCCAGGCCAGCCCCCCGCGAGTCTGAGCGTGCCCACGCGCTCACGCATGTGCACACAGATAGACTCCCCATCTCTTCCTGCTCCGTGCCTCTTTCCTGAGGCCCTGCGGGTCTGCCTGTCCAAAGCCTTCAGTCGGTGACGCAGCCCCTCTTCCTTGGCGTCGAGCTGTGCAGATGGAGTCTTGTACGTTTAACACTGTGATCTCTGAGAGAAAACTAGCAGGAGTAGTTCTGATGGATGTGCATTTGCAGTTAAGAGTTGGAGCCACTGCAGAGAGCCACCCTACGACACCAGGGCTTGCTATTAGCATCCTTTGAAGTCACTGGTCCACCCTGGGGGGAGGTGGGGGGAGGCTGACTGGCAGGCGTTCAGCAGACTGTTTTCCCTTGGCTCCGAAGCACAGGATCCCTGACGCAGGTGGGCTGATGGGCCGGGAGCTGATGGGCCGCATCATGACTCTTGTGGCCCTACTGAGAAGTAGGTTAGGGTCTTGACTTTGAGCTGACCTGACTCCCCTGGGCCTCAGTGCTGTCCCCAAGCCCTGGGGTGTGGCAGAGTGGTCCCCTGTCCTCTGGACGTAGGCCCAGGACAAAGCCATCAGCTGTGCCAGCTGCCTTTGTCCTTTGTCTTCACACAGGAACCCTGCCATCGGGCTCTCTGGGTGCTGAACTGAAAGGCTGCTCAGGAGAAGGCATGTGTTCACGAAAAGAGAAAGAGCACAAGGACTGAGAACCCAGTGGCCCTTCAGGAGCCTGGGGGAGCGTGTGGGAAGAGACAGAGTGTACCTCTCATTCTCCTGTCGAGCACACGGCAGACGGGGCGGGGGGGCGGGGGCCGCTCCACCTCCGCTGCCAACCTTCCTTCCTCGGAAGGCAGAACACGTTCCTCAGTTCTGCATGGACTCCCACAGGGTTAATTGCTGCCCAGTTAATTGCCCTATTGTTTATATGGCCTCTGAGGACAGGAAACAAGTGCCCGTGAAAGGCACAGACCTGGGCCAGCCGAGCCGCTGTCGCTCCGTTCCAAACCTGGACACCCTCCAAAAGCGGGGTTTGCTGACCCGGCAGGCGGCTTCCCAGGGCAGAGGCCAGCCCCCCACTGCCGATCACTGGGCCCCACTTCCACCCTTGCCCCCCTGTGGCGAGGCGAGCGTGTCATAGTCCCTGCCTGGAAGGCACGGGGCATCCATTTTCTGGTCTGCGGAGCCCCGCAGGGTCCTGCGAAGTTATGGTATTAGTGTCCTGTTGCTGCTGCAACAAATTACCGCGGGATCCATGGCTTAAAGCAACATTCATTTATGTCTTACGGCTCTGTCGGCAAGAGTCCAATATGGGTCTCACTGGGCTAGAATCAAGGTGTCAGCAGGACCACACTCCTTTCCGGAGGCTCTAGGGGACAATCCATCCATTACCTTGCCTTTTGCAGCTTCTACAGGCCGCCCACCTTTTCTGGCTCCTGCTCCCCTTCTTCCACCCTGCAAGGCACCGCGCTGCATTTTCCTGACCACTCTCCTGCAGTCCCCGGCTCTCCTCTTCTGTGGTCTCTTTCCACTTTTAAGGGATTACATGGGCTCACCTGGGTAATCCAGGATAATCTCCCATCTCAAGAGCCTTCACTTGACCTGCAAAGCCCCTTTTGTCAAATATAAGGCTACATGTTCACAGGTTCCGAAGATTATGCTGCAGGCGTCCGTGGGGGCCGTTGGAGGAAGAGGGCGGCGGGGCAGAAGCTGACCCGGCAGGCAGGACTGTGGCCCAGCCGCCCCCGGCATCAGCCAGGGCATCCATATTCTGACCAAGCCTACCTCCTGAAGATTAATATGAAACTTCGAAAGTTTTGAGCCCTGGCCGCGTGGCTCAGTTGGTTAGAGCATCGTCCTGATGCGCCCGGGTTGCGGGTTTGATCCCCAGTCAGGGCGCAGACAAGAACCGCCCAGTGAATGTAGAAATAAGTGGAACAACAAACTGATGTTTCTTTCTCTTCTCTCTCCCCACCCTCGCTCCCTCCCTCCCTTCCCCTCTGACTCTAAAAATCAATAAAATCAAATAAGAAAGTTTGGAAATGATTTCCAGGGCTAAAACATGGCCGACAGCCCTTGAGGCACGGCCCCTTCCTCGTCGTCAGGCTCATCCTGAGCGCCCCCGCGTGCCCTTGCTTTGTGGCGCGCCTGCTCAGGTGAGCGGCTGCTCCTGGGAGGGCGGGGGCCGCCCTCCAGCTTCCGCACGGGACGCAGGGCCTGCCTTGCCGGATCAGGATGCTCTAAGGAGCTCTGAATCACCCGGCGACCCCGCCGCCCTTCTGTCACACGCTGTCCGCAGTGGATTCCCACCACGAGTGTCATTTCACCTCTCCCGGAGCACAGACGTGCAGAGAACATTACAGAGGACCCCCTCTCTTCCTCCGTAGGACAGGAAGCGGCAGAGTGTGCCCCCGAGACTGGCTGCTATCGGGGGATCGGGAGCCGGGAGCTGACCCACAAGGTTGATTCCATCGCACTTTTCCCTTTGAGAAGCCCTGACTGGCTCAGGCTTCCACGTCAGAGTGTGTGAAAAATTCGAGAGAGACTGCTATTTGGGAAAGAAGTTGGAATGCCGTGCAGGAATGGAGAATGCATTTGGAGTAGGGATTATGGCGGCAGGTTCTGTGACTCGCCCCGGTAAGGTGAGGCAGGCTGAGGCACAGGGAGGCTTCCTCTTCTCGCGGGGCTCCGAGCACGCCTCTGCGTCCGTCCCCGGTGCTCTCTGCCAGCAGCGCCTCCGCCCGCCGCCAGCGCTCAGGTGTGTGCGTTTCAGGCTGGGTGACAGCGGTCTAGACCCCGAAGTACTTAATTCATCAACTCAAAGCCATTGGTAGAAAAGGCAGGGAAAGAGGGTGAAGAAAAGGAGTTGAACGGAGAAACCCATTTTAAGCTCATTAGCAAATGATGCCTCAGACCAGTGATAAGGGAAGAAGCCACGATCATCTCATGAAAGGTGATTAACCTTGTATATTTTAGAGGTCACTGAAATTTAAGCTCATTTATTAGACCTTCTGCATGAGGGAGGGTTGTTGCCACAATACAGAGAATTTTCTTGTTGAGCCTGTGATTTCTGAAGGCGCCGGGACTGCTCAGTGAGACCTATGCGAAGCGAGCACGACCTTGGGGCGGGGGCCTGAGCAAACGGTTCTCTTTCAAGGGGGCGTCCGCGTGCCGGGACAGAGAATGGCCAGCAGGGCGAAGGGAAAAGACGGGCTCCTCCTGGAGGCAGGATTTCCCTCCTGAGCCTGGGCTCGGGCTGCAGACACTTCCAGGAAGGGGGCGTGGTCTGGAGCCTGCACTTCCTTTGTGTCCGAACAGAGGTTTTGAGGGGCCCAGAATGTGACTACAGCAGCCCATGCAACGGCGGGCCAGAACCAACTGCCCCGTGGGACAGTGACGTGGTTACCCTCCTGGGGGAGTGGAGGTCCTAGTTCAACAAGGGTTAAGAAGAAAACGCTATTTTCGGCTTCAGCTTTTTTTTTCCTTCTTGAAATCTTTCAAAATGTTTAACTGAACCGCAGCCGGAGTCAGTCACAGTGAAATAAAGATAATTGCATCTTTTTCGGTAATGGGGGATCTTGCCTTCCGTTCAAGGTCATTGCTCTGGACAGTTTGCAGTGTTTTGTCCTATAAATACACGCACCATACTATGGGGGGGGGGCATATCTGTGTCTGTGTGAAAGAGGAGAGAGTATAGGCTGAAGTTATAAATCCATAATTGATTTCAGAATATGCTCCAGGAGTTTCTTAAAACAGCCAGACAGATGAACAGCGAATCTACAGGATTGTTTTACTTGGTTGACACAAATAAATCGGGGTTCCAGGGGACCCAGATTTTCTCAAACTCGAGAAGCAACGTGGCTGAGTGGAAGGGACTTGGATGCGCCTCGGGGTCAGACGGATCTAGGTCAAATATCTGATTCCCCACTCTGTGACCTTAAACAAGTTACCACCTAATCTTTCTGAGGTTAAGTTTGGCCTTCTGTAAAGTGACAGGAAAAAAAGTCTGCCTGTGTTGGTGGCATTGAAGGTAATGTATGTAGACTGTCCTGCATGGTGAACTGCTTAGTCCCTAAGAGCTGTTATTATTTTTAACTTTGCTCACGAGAAAGGCAAAATCCAGGCCAGCGCACTTCTCTTCACATCTCCTAAGACGATATAAATATCAGGCGGTCCAACCTGGCACACCAGTGTCGTCGAGACACCGGGGCCAGCCAGGTGTGGATGGACGTGCTGGACTTTGGAATCCTGCAGCGAAGCCCGCCTGAGTTTCGCTTGGTGGCGTCTCCGTCTAAGCTGCACGCGATCGGGCGTTCGGGAGGGGAGCAGGTAGCTGAGGACATGGGTTGGGGCGCAGGACCTGGAGGAGATGACATAGCCAGCTGGCACAAGGACTGTAGTCCCATGAGGGAGTAGCAGTAGGACTGGCTTTGCCTCCGCTTGGATGGCGCTGTCCCCGCTTTAGGGAAGGAGGAGAGAAAAAGAAGTGGCCACCACTGCGGCCCAGTTCATTCCAACGAAGCGGCTGTGTTTCAGTGCCGACCCCCCTGGCCCGGGCTGCCCCGCAGCGGCAACGCTGGCCCCCTTCTGGTGGTGCATCTGGCCTGGCAGCTGGGCGGCCAAGGGAGTGGGGCGGCAGGGGCTGACAGCACGTGGGGCGCAACCCTCAGCTGCCTCATTTGCTTGTTTACCGTCATCTGGAACATCTGGGCTTGCACAGCACGAGGCAGCCCCTGGAAGCTTCTTGAGATGCTGTCGCCTTCCCGCAGACTGGCCGCCTTCAGAGGGAGAAGGGATGGACTGGCAGGAGCCTGGCAGGCCCACTGGGGGGCCATTTGTGGGGGAAATGCGGAATGAGTGTCAGCAAACAGTGCACCTCCTGCTGGGGTCTCTGGCTGGGACGTGGGAGGAGGAGAGGTGGGTTTTCGGGGTGCACCTAGGCTGCAGCAGCCGGGCTTCTAGGCCACGGGGCTTGGCAGCTGAGAGGAAGAGGCAGCCAGACGGCAGGACAAGAGGGCAGGTGTGAACCCCGTTCCTCCAAGTTTCTACAGTTGTTTGGTTTTGGTTTTGGTTTTGGTTTTGGTTTTGGAGAAGGGGGTTGTTGCTAGCTGACTGCACACAGCACGGCCGCTCGAAGCAGGTCAGATCTAGACAGGCCCCGGCTCTGACCCTCGTGCCGCCTGACCCCCGGCAAGTCACCTGCCCCCTTCCAGCCGGCTGGAGAGGACCCGCTGTAATGCACGTGTGCGGGATCTGTTGCACAGACAGAAGCAGGATGGCAAAGCGTAGTCCCTGGCTCTTAGGTGGAGCCCAGGGCAGTGAGAGGGCCATGCGGTGGCTGGTTATTGCTTGCCACGCCTCCTGCCGAGGGTAAGCGGAGGTGCCATGGGGTGAAACACCTACAGCTCCCAGCAGAGCGCTAGGGGCCTGGTGAGTGGTGAACGTGGCTGTGCGCAGGAGCCCAAGCCGGCGGGAGCCGGTGATGGGGCAGCCGCCACGCGGGCGCCACGTGGTCCCACTGCGATCGGCAGTGCGGCTTTGGGGACGTGAAGCTCTCCTCGTATGTCACATGGGCACAGTCACCTGCTTGCCCCAAGCGGATGTGCAGGGAGCAAGGGGAGGGAGGCCCCGTGTGAGCGCTCTGACTGCTACCGCGCCACCGCGATTCTGGCTGACGTGTCTTCCCGGATTATCTCCTCTGCCGTCATTCTTGGGGAGCTCGTTGGGGGCCCCACGGCAGTGCAGAAAAGCTCATTGTCTCGCATTAACAATGTCCAGGGCCCTGGAATGCAGCCCAAGTGAAACATCCGTGGGCACTCAGGGCCCGGTGTCGTCCGCAGGGCGTCCTCAAGGCAGGGAGGTCGTGAGAGTGGCCACTCCCACTGGGTCAGCAGTCAGACCTCCCTCCGAGGCCACAGAAGCCCACTGTCTCCTTCTGGCTGGATGCCCTGGCTCCGTCCGCCCACTCCCTCCACCCCTGGTATCTGGCACCAATGTTGACAAAGTGCTTTGGACACTTAAAAGCCCTATTAATACTAAATCCAAACAGCAACAACCCCTTGCCCTGGCCCAAAGGAATCCCCACTACTGCATTTTAATTCTGGCCCGTCGCGGCCACACTTCTGCCAGCCGGGGGCCGAGCAGGGGTGCCTGCACACCTCGCTCTGTCTTGCCACCACGCTCCCTTCCAGCCTGTTTGGAAGAATCGGCTTTAATGCAAATGTGTGTGATCTGTGCCCAGAGAGAAGAAGCCAGATGTCAAGAAAGGTCACTTGCTTTTAAAGGAAGTCCAACATGGTGGGAAATTTCTGTATCATTTGCCAATGTGGATGGTTTCAAGGCTGAGTGTTAAAATCAGGGTCAGTAGCACCAGTCCAGTGTCCAAAGAGCCCAGTCCCCTGATTCACCCACCTGTGCGGATGTTTTCTGATTGTGCCAGTGCCCGTCCGGACTCAGCCCCATGAAGGACAGCTCTGGCTGCTATGACCGCCACGTCGGGGTGGACTGCTCGGACGGCTTCAATGGCGGCTGCGAGCAGCTGTGTCTCCAGCAGGTGGCGCCCTTCCCGGACGACCCAGCCTTGTACAACATCTTCATGTTCTGTGGGTGAGTGGAACCGCCCGTGAGGCTCACTGGTGTGCCAGGGCCTTATGTCTTTTATGTTTTATTTTATGCCAGGATGGGGGGCGTTTGTGCTGAAACTAGTGAAGAATGTCAGAATGAGCTGGGCGCCCTAGGCCGGCCCTCAGGCTCTGGGAGGAGAGCCTGTGGGCCTGGGAGGGGAGGGCTTTTCAAGTCAGAACAGGGAGGACCCTCAGGGGAGGCCGGGTCCCTCCCCTGGAGAAGAGGAAAACGGCCACAGCCAGTGCCCGCTGACACCGGAATTTTCCAGCTGTGTTTTGGGGAGCTGTTAATTAAGTGTTTTGTGACAGCCTTTTCCGTGGTCTAAAAGCTTGGCAAAGAGTGTGTGAAACTAATCAACTGCCAAAGGAGAGGAGGGGAAAATCTTTGGAGGAGTGAAGCGTAATTAAATTCTGCCCCTAAAGTCCCAGCATTTTGTGCGGCCGCCCCCCAACCCCTGCCCCGACATAGCAAGTCCTCGGTGGGAAGAGCCCGTGACTGTGGGCCAGCTCCTTTCACTGGGGAGGGCAGGGCAGGCGAGGCCGCCCATTTCACAGAGGAGGAGACTAAGGTGCAGGGAGGCCGGCTGACTGGCTCAGGGCTGGGGGGTTGGTGAGTGGGAAGGTTAGGACTAGAATTCAGACCCTCCATAAAAAGTGTCTAGCTCCCTCAAAATCGCACTGTACCCCACTGACTGGAATTATTTTTAATGACATGTTCGTGATATATATATATATATATATATAAAGTAAGTAAAAATTGGGCCAATTCTTCTATACCCCTAGTTTCCTTGTCTGACCTCTCCTCCCCTTCCCTTCTGCCCTCCTGCCCTCTCCCCTCGCCCCGCCCCCTGCCTCCCCTTCCCCCTGCCTCCCCCACCCTTTGCCTGTGTGTCAGGGAGGGTGCTTCCTTTACGTCACACCTGTGCTGGCCACTGGGCTGCGGACCTGGATGACATGTCGTTCTTGCCCTCAAGGATCTCACAATCCAATAGGCTTGCAATGAAAATCAGTGTTGATAATAATAAAACTATGCGAGATGGTTGCTAAAAGCCAGTTCTTGCTGAAGAATCCTGAAAAGATTATTTGGTGGAATAGTAATATCACTTGATTGTTATTCCATTTTATTTTATGTCTTCACAACCGAGCCATTTTCACATTCCGTTTCGTATAAAGTCCCATTCCCTAAATAGAAGCTTGATCTAAATTTTCATGTCTCTATAATGCTATCATTATGGTTGACCTACTTCAATTAAAGGCAGTGAATGCAGCCAAAGTTGCATAGCATTATTTATTTGATAAACACATATTGGGGCACCTAGCTTGTGCAGAGAACTGAGTTAGGTGTTAGGTACAAGACCCGGTCTCTGCCCACAAAGGAGTTTATAGGTGGACACAGGTCCAGGAAGACAGAGGAATGGGGACACTGGGCCATGTGGAAGGGGACACTTGTCCAGAAGCTCACAGTGGACTGAGAGGGAGCCAGCTGGCTTCAAAATGCTCTCCAGAAACACTGCATTATGGCTCAAGAATGGAGCCACCTCACCATCTTGTCGCAGACCTAGGCTGGTGCCATCGTGTCTTTTGTGAGTCTCGAGTCACATCTGTTGCCTAGATTAATGCAGAAGGTTCCTAACGGCACTTCTTTCACATTTCAGTCAGAATTCAGTACCCGCTTTTTTCGCGCTCTACAAACGGCTAGCTATAGCCTGACAGAGAAGTCCTTGATGTGAGATTCCTATGTAAGACCCAAGTCACAAGCACTTAGAACTAAAGAGCTCTGCTCACACTTGTTCACACAAATATGTAAATGGAAAATGGGGAGAACAAGGGATTCAAGTGCATTAACATGGGCCTCATCCATGCCGCTGCTCCTACTAATGATAGAAACGCTGGGGGCTGTGTGCTAGGCACAACGGCGCTCTGTGCGTCCATTGTTTCACTTGGCCTTCTCAACCGCCCACAGAAGCGCTCTTACGGACGGGGAAGCGGAAGCGCAAGAGTTGAATCCGCTGACCCAAGGTTCCCCGTAAGGGCAGTGTCGCTGCCATTACGATGTTCTTTCTGACCACCTAAAACTATGATTATTGTTCCTCTACATAGAACAGAGTCTTTATCATATTACAACAATTACCGTAGGTAGTAATAAAAGATGTGTTTTCATGCCCTGAACATCCACAAATTCAAAATCTTGTATATTTCTAAGGTGATGCCCAAACTAAATCAATATCCTTTTTTTAAATGACGGCTTTATCAAAATAATTCTTACTTGAGCTAACAAATTATAGTCTTCTCAATGTAACTACAAATAAGGTCCAGCTAATGACTTAGGGGTCGTTGACCCATATTTACCAACATCAGGATTGCTCTTCCATTAGAGTGGCTGGACTCAGTTAATGGGGAGGACGTCAGCGAGGTCCCTACTCCACGTCCTGGCGTCTGTGTGGTTCGGCAGGCGGGGACGTTAATATGGGTAGACCTTGTGTGTGGATACATTCAAACAGAACACAGACGGAAGATGATCGGTCTTCCCAGTTCTTTAGTTGACTCGTCACAGGACCAGGTTAGAAGGTCATTAATTTCTTAGGCACAGTGTCCTTTTTTTTTTTTTTTTCTTCTGCCTACTTACCCTCCAAACAAAGGGACGTTGTAGCCATATAGATGGTTCTGAAGGAAGGCTCCAGAATATCTGGGGTTTAAATGTATTAGTCCATCTACAAGTTTTATCTCCAGTGATCCCTCCCCTGACCTACTTGGCAAATCAGACTCTTAGAGGAGGAAGCGCTGCAAAGCCCTGAAAGCATTCACCTGCACAGGCAAGGTCAGCAGCTCAGTGCGATCACGTTGTGGGAGGGGACTTGGTTTACAGGCTTAAGAAACTGCGTAATAAAGGTGACAAAGATCAAATGGGGATATTCGTAGTGTCCAGCCACTCAGCACGCTCCCAAAGGCACCTCCTCCCAACCTGTTGGGTTGAGTGGGCTGCCAAGCTCACGGAGGGAGTAACTTCTCGAGTTTTCCACCTTGTTAGGTGCATTGAGGATTACAAGCTTGGTGTGGATGGACGCTCTTGCCAGCTCATCTCGGAGACCTGCCCTGAGGGAGGAGACTGTGGGGAAAGCCGGGAGCTTCCCATGAACCAGACCCTCTTTGGGGAGATGTTCTTTGGTTACAACAACCACTCCAAGGAAGTCGCTTCAGGGCAAGTGCTGAAAGGAACGTTCAGGTGAGCTCCGTGTCCGTGGAACCGACTAGTTAGGGCCGCCCTGCATCCCCTTCCCTGCAGCGCTTCCGTCAGCATCGAGTTTTACATCCTGGAGCAAGGTCAGTGTGGGCCACAGTCTCTGCAAGTCTGTGTCCTTCTCTCCAGAGTGTGAGAGCCACGCGTCCTCTGGGTGAACAGTGAAGTGCGAACTGCATTTTTGTCCTGCCCAGGCAGCGACTGCAGGACTTTCCTCGGAAGCTACTGCAAAATGCTCAGGTTCCCTCTTCCCTCAGAGTAGAAGAATTGGTGTGTGAGTTAGTCTAGAACAGCGGTCCCCACGTGTGGCCCAAGGATCCCGGAGCGTCCCCAAGGTCCTTCCAAGGGGCAGCCAGAGTCCTGCCTTTTGCAAATACATAGAGGCTGGGTTTCTGCAGATATTTTAACCCAAACAATGTGTTGTAATAAGCCGAATGCAGAGGTGAGACTCACGCTGTCTTCTAAATCAGACATTTTAAAAATATGCAGAAAAATGTTAAACAATGATACTCCTCTCATCATTTTTATAAAGTATATTAATATTTAATGGCTTTGTTATTGAAATTTCAAAGAAATTAATATTTTTAACATTCTTCAATTTCTAATAGGGTAAATGTAGATAACGGTAGTCCACATAAACAGAAGCTACTTGGAGCCTTCAGTTATTTTTAAGAGTATAAAGTATTCCTGCAAAAATGTTTCAAACCATTGATTGAGAATATTTCTAGGAGATTTCTCCGTTTGACCCCTGTTTCTGTCTGGCCTTAGGCCGTTTGAATGCATCTTCCTCAGAGCCCATGCTTTCCAGGAGAAGATAACACTGGGGAAGAAAGTCTTGTCCTGTGGCCCTGGCTAGTCTGGCTCAGTGGGTTGGGTGTTGTCTCACAAACCGAAAGGTCACCGGTTTGATTCCCGGGCAGGGCACATGCCCGGGGTTGCGGACCAGGTCCTTGGTTGGGGGCTCATAAGAGGCAGCTGTCTCTCACATGTTATGTTTCTCTCCCTCTCTTTCTCCCTCCCTCCCCATCTCTCTAAAAATAAATAAATAAAGCCTTTTTTGAAAAGGTGTCATAATGTGCATGAGCAGCTGATAGCAACCTGAGCCTGGACTCTCCTGAGCAAACTGATGGTCCATTTCCAAGCCAGTTCCTGGAGCCGTTTGCTCTTTCTGTTACAGACAGTAGACTTTGCTAATATTTCCCCTGTTAGCCTGGGACAGGTGCAAGCGGTGAGCGTCACACCCAGCCTTGTGGGGGCTGGAGTCTTCTCTGCCATCTAGAAAGGACACCGCGCATGCGGGCCTTATGCACAGCGGGTCGGGAGGAGGGGCAGGGATGGGAGGAAAGAACAGCCTCTCTCTTTGGAGTACACCTTTCCGTCTGGCTTGTTCCCATCTCCCCCGGCCCTCGCTCCGCCTCTCACACCCATGTCCGCCTCCAGCGCGTACATTAGGTGCGGTTCAGAGCCAGGGGCCCTTTTGGCCCAGGGGGATGTTTTTCGTGTGGGTCAAGATACAGATCGCTGCCGAAGGAGTGGGCGTCTCACCTGAACACTCGGAAACGAAGGTCTGCCTCTGTTTCTAGGCAAAACAACTTTGCTCGAGGTTTAGACCAGCAACTGCCGGATGGTCTGGTGGTGGCCACGGTGCCCCTGGAGAATCAGTGCCTGGAGGAGATCTCAGAGCCCACCCCCGACCCTGACTTCCTGACCGGTAAGTGCGCCTTCTGCCCTCGCTGAGCCCGCAGACGCCAGGCCGCTCCCCGTGGTCTCAGAAAACCGAGACTCCCCATCTCACTTATTTTGGCTTCAAAGCCGGTGGCTTCCCTAATACACCACAAAAACTCAGTCCGGAGACTGAACACTGGTAGGGTCGTTTGTCGGGAAAATTCCCGTTATTATGACATAATCACCTGTAAAGTACTCGTAATTATACCTTCCCTTGCTCGTCTCATCGGGATGCTTTGACAACCCATGGGACGGTGGATGAGTAAGAGGTCAGAGTCCTCGGTGGGTTAGAGGAAGTGGCCAGGCGACAGAGGAGGCAGAGAAGAGGCGGACGGCGGCCATCGCCTGCGGATCCGTCATTGCCGAGTGCGAAAGGAAATGTGCCCGTTCAGACTAGCGCGTAGCATTTTCGCTGCAGGGGATGGCGAGGGGAGCAAGAGAGAAAATGAGGAGATATATTCAAACCAGAAATAAATCTCACCGAAATCAGTTCCCCTCTAAAAGACAACTATAGACACACACACACACACACTTTATGTTCAGTTTAAAGCGTGCAGACGACAGATACACACTTGAAACGGGAAAGTTGCCGTGCGGCCTGTGGGCATGCCGCTGCCGCAGCCTACATCTCTAGTGCTGGGGAGCCTGGATGTCTTCTTTCCACTTCATTTGCTGAGAAGCACTAGCCACGCAGCTGTGAGGTACCTTGCGAAGGAGGTGTGAGCTGCCCGCTCAAACAGGACAGGGCCCACCCCAGTGAGAAAGCACCTGGCTTCTGTGCAAAGGCCCACCAAGACCCCACGCTTTATAACTTGTGGTGGAGGTGAGATTTCCCTTGGGCTGTCACCGGGCCGGGAGGGCACAAGTAGTCCTGGGTGCCCCCCTGAGGCGTTTTGGGAGGAGCGAGTGGCTGGATGCACGTTAGAAACCTCAGAAGAAGGCGCATTTGGATCTGCATCTTTGGAAATCAGAAGAGACATGAATTCGGTTGTCAGCCGCGCCAGAAACTTCTTTCTCCCCGTGCCCTTGGACCTCGCCTAACTGGGCACATTGGGATAAGAGAACCCAGGGTATTCACGTGGGTCACCGTCATGTTCCCGGCCTTGAGAGAGTGAAGTCCAACATTCCTAACGGTGTCGAGGGAGCTCTTCTGGACCTGCTACGTTTGCAGCCAGTCTTTGTTTTTAACCTATTTTTGATTAAGATGCGGTACCATTTAGGCCAAGAACTTTCCTTTGATTGTATAAAGGACTCCCTCTTATTTGTTTAAAGCCCAGAATGACTAGAAGAGCCAATTAAAGAGATGGTTGACCACGTTTCTTCTGTATTGGCTTTCTAGTGCTGGCAACATTTTACTCGTATCTTCCCTGAGAGCCGTACAGGGACTATCATACCTTGTGACACTATGGTGCTATTTATAGGTCATAATCCCCGTAAACCTACAAGCCTAGAAGATATTAGAGCTAAAGTGATCTTCAGAATGTTCTCTATCAGCACTTCCAAGTATGTTTAAATGAAAAAACAGTGCTCCACTCTTAAATAAGTTCTCTCTTCAACTGTATTTCGAAAGACTGTAGTAGCCACGTCGTCAGTTTATAACACCTTAGCATACAACAGGTTCCAAAAATCCTGCCGTAAAAGAAGAATAAAAATCCCTTTTACTTTATTTAACCCAGCAGTTCCTAAACCTAGGTAGCCGGAGAATCCTTTTACACAAAACAGCTATTTTCATCTTTCAGAATTACTGGTTTGAAGACATACTAGAAAATATTGATTTATGTGTTTTATTTTGCTGATTGCTTCCCTCTTTATCAAAATAACAGTTAAGAGCTCCGAGCTTCACCAGCCTTTTTGGTGTTACAAGCTGAGTGTCAATAAATGAAGACCAACCAGATGAAAATGGGTGGGAGCTGTTTATTCATAGCTTTATTCATAGCTTGCTGTGCAGCAGGGGAGTGGGCCGCGTGGCTTGCTCTCGGCATCGGCTGACAGGCAGAGGGGTGGGAGCTTTCGGGAGAGGAGGGAAGGGCCCCAGGTGAGCCCCAATGGGCCTTGCTGGCCATGGGTAGGCCAACGAGCCAGACGTGTGGCCTTCTGTGTGAGAGTTTTAGGGGTGCATATTTGACTTTCTCTGGTTGGACCGACACTGGAAGCAAGGACGGCAGCTGGGAATCTGCCAGTCCTTAATCAGGTTCTGGTCATGTTGAGCCACCTTCGCAGCTGTTACCCTTTGGCATCCTGGACTGGTCGCTAGAGATAGTGGTTGGGCTTCCTCCAAATCTGCTATATAGGTAGCAGACTTGTTCTTTGGGCTGATGACCTTAGGTAATAGGGGGGTTTTCTGGGCTGATTGTGCAGATGCTGCGTCAGAGTTCTATTTTTAAATGTGGTCCGGCCGTCATCTACTGGTATTTCAGTCTCTCCGTTGAGAACAAGGAGCGGGAGCAGGGGCAGACCGAGGAGGTAGAGGGGCTGTGACCGCACTCGTGGGCCGCTTGGGTGACGCAGTTGCTAAATCGATGTGACGTTTTGGGCTCTGCGCTCTGTGGCCATTCTTCAAGGTCACCCTAAGGAAGCAGACTTCAGAACTCTGGTGATAATACATCCCCCTGGCATTGCAAATAAATAAAAGGAGAAAGCTCCCTTCCCTCCTTCTTCCTACCTTCACTCTTCCTACCTTCCCCCTCCCTCCCTCCCTCCCTGCCTCCCTTCCTCCTTTGCTTCCCTCCTCCCTTCCTTCCTCCCTCCCTTTCTTCCTTCTTCATACCTCCTCCCTCCCTCCCTCCCTCCCTTCCCTCCTTCCTCCCTTCCTCCCTTCTTCATACCTTCTACCTCCCTCCCTCCCTTCTTCCTACCTCCTCCCTCCCTCCCTCCCTCCCTCCCTCCCTCCCTCCCTCCCTCCCTTCCCTCCTTCCTCCCTTCCTTCCTTCTTCATACCTTCTCCCTCCCTCCCTCCCTCCCTCCCTTCCGTCCCTCCTTCTTCCCTCCTTCTTCCCTTCCTCCCTCCTCCCTCCCTTCCTCCCTCCCTTCCTTCCTTCTTCCCCCCTCCCTCCCTCCCTTCCTTCCCTCCTTCTTTCCTTCCTCCCTTCCTCCTTCCTCCCTCCCTCCCTTTCTTCCTTTGTCACACCTTCTCCCTGCCTCCCTTCCTTCCTCCCTCCTTCCTTCCTTCTTCATACCTTCTCCCTTCCTTCCTCCCTCCCTCCCTTCCTTCCCTCTTCCTCCCTTTTCCCTCCCTTCCTCCCTCCCTCCCTCCCTCCCTTCCTTCCTTCCTTCCTTACTCTCACGTAAGTCTATTTGGTCATTTTTTTTCAAGCATAGGTTAGGGGAAAAAAATGTTTATTCTTGAGAAAACATAGTTGGAGATACTTTGTTTTTTGGTTTTTGTTTTTTTAAAAGAGTCATCCAGAAATGTATTCCAAACAATAATAAAATAAAACTGAAAAACTAGAGCTGACTGCAGGCCGAGGGCACGCTGAGAGAGAACTGTGTGATTCAGCTGAAAAATGTGTCTACTTTGAAATATCCCTTTCTTTTTAAATAATGGGGGTATTATCTGTAAGTGGGCACAGCACAGCACCTGCCAAGCGTCGGGGGTTATGCAACAGCCGTTTCCCGGACTGCGCCCCGGCGTAAGCACATTAAGCAGAAATGCTGCTTAGCAGTTTCAGGAGGCTGCTGGCTCACCTGGGTGAACGTGGGGCACTGTCGCCCCTTCCTGCTCCTCTGCGTTCACACTTCCGTTACTTTTTTCCTTTCCTCTGTTCTGAACTAAAGCCCGGGAGCCTACACCAAAAGCACCAATTAAGAAATGTCAAGTTCACGTCACTAAGGGTGACGAGAGAGAGAGGGGCGGCGGAGGAGGTGACACCATTTTGGAAGCCAAGGACGTATGTGGTGCTTTATCGTTTCTCAACGTCCTTTTATTCCCTTGACTCAAAAACCTGCCTGTAAAGCAGGTAACACACCTACCATGGATGCCCTTTCCAGATGTGGAAACTGAAACAAACGAGTTGCCTCGCCCAGAGGCACGCAGCTGATTGGGGTCCGCGGATGGAAAAGACAGGAAGGGGTCGTCCCACCTAAGCTTTCACTTCTATCGATGAGACAGCCGGGAGTCAGAAGACCCTCTAGCTGGGGGGCCAGAGAGAGGAAGCTCAGGCTGGGGACAGGTCAGAAACCACCCCCACCCCCGAGGCCACATGGCCAGGGGCCAGCGTTAGAACCACCACATCCTGCTTTCCTGCTGGTTCTTCCCACTAGGAGACAATTCAATGAAAGGGGACATTTTCTATAACCTATTGAAAAGTCTTCATTTATCGGGCCAGCTATTATTTTTATGAACAGACGTTTCGAAATCGCAGCAAGCTGATCAGCTGACATAACTAGAGAGCGGCCGTTGTGCAGGACGGTTCCCCAAAGCTTGACCAGTGTGTCCTCCAATGAAACAGGCCCTTGAGGTGTGTGACTGGCGCCTTCAGCTTGTAAAAGTGGAATTTCATTTCTATGCCTTGAAGATTAATCAAGGTTAAAGGCCAGAGTGGGTGGTAGCCTGACTATTGTCACAAAACTTCTGTCCTAAAAGAACATGTGAAAGAGGAAGCACTGAAAACCTCCTCTGAGTCTTAAGTAACTTACCTGTTTGATTGACTGCGATTAAATTTAAGCAGTCGATTCACTTAGCACCTCTCCTGACCTTTTTTCCTTTTACCTTACCAATAATTATTCCCATATGATTCACACAGAAATGGAAATTTGGCAATTGCTCAGCTAATTTGATCCGCGCTGACAAACAGCTAATTAACCCCACCCACTCTTCATCCAGCTTCAGGATTAAAGCAGTGGATTGAGCCCGAAGGAAGCCTGGGTCAACGCGGCAGGATAATTCACTGCGTCTGTGTCGTTGCCGTTATGTTTATATGCACACTCACTACCTACCCATCTATCTAAATATACTGTATATGTGGCTCTTATATTTGCATATGTACATACCTGCACGCATATAAATATGCATGTGTCTCTCCATATACTTATTCCTGCAGTATATACGTAGCAAACAGTAGGCATAAAAATGAAGCTAAAATTGGTTTTCTAAACTTAGCAAGGTGATTTTTTTTCACTTCCTGTGGCCTAATTATTTTGTTTCTGTTGCATTTTATAGCAATGGCCAGAATTCAAATAAGGTGCCCCTGCCTCTCCAAGGTGCTCAGATAAGAACAGAGCGTTACAGCATCTGCTGAGAGGCTACCAGGATGTGTTTCTCAAGCGTGACCTTGGCTGAGCACCTTGGGCTCTCGGAGCCTTGGTTCTCCCATCGAAGGGAGGACCACAAACAAAGCGTCTGCCGCTGTGTCTGGCACACAGATGGCGCTCCCTGCAGGGCCGTCCCTGCCCCTTAGTTGAGCTGACAGTGTCCCTCCTGGTAAAGAAGAAGTAAGCTTATCAGTTTCAGAGTAATTAAAACTTAAATACTGAACACAAATCAGTTAAACGGGACAGAAAAATCAATGTTATCAAGTACGTGAGCTGAGTCAATTACTGCAACTATTAAAGGGAGTAAGAACCCGGCGTGTGAGGTAAGCCTGGAGCTTCTTGCAGATTTATTACCGGGATATTGTAGTAGGACGGTTACGAACCCCCACCCACCCTCAGACACACATGGTGGCCCAGGGCCCTCCTGCACACACCTTCTGAGCCTCAGCCTCCCCATTTGTAAATTGCAAACCGTAACACCTGTCTCACAAGGATCAAATGATGTTACATGTGCAAAGTGCTTAGCAAAATGCCTGGCACAGGGCGAGGGTCTAATAAATGACAGCTGTCGCTAACTGTGATTCCAGAGATTCTGTCCATCCGATTGTCTCGCAGTGACCCCCTCCCACCCAGTAGACCCGGGACCTGGGAATCCATCGCACCCACTGAGACCGTGTCTCCTCTGTCCCCAGGGATGGTGAACTTCAGCGAGGTTTCTGGATACCCTGTGCTGCAGCACTGGAAGGTCCGGTCTGTGATGTACCACATCAAACTCAACCAAGTGACCATCTCTCAGGGTGAGCGCAGCTGCGGCCCGTCCCTGCCACCTGCTCCCGGGCGTGGAGTCCCTTTCCGAGGGTGCAAGCGTTTGGTCCCATCGTTGACAATGCAGTTGAAAACGTAGCTGCGCTCATCAGTTCATGCAGATGCCCCCTTACGAGCAGATGGCAGGGATCAGACCCCTTTTTACGGATAGACACTCAGTAAGGGTAGGAGAGACGGACAGAGCAAGGCAGGGGCCACTGGCGGTAAACACCTACTTTATCCTTTTTTCTGGGGTCGCCCACTGTCTAAAGAGCACGTGCAAAAGCAGACTTTCTAGAAATTGACAGAACAAAACTTTCCAAATGCAGTAAGCAAAACTTGGAGGTTCTATACAATGAAGGAAACAAGGGAAGGAAGCAAGAAAGAGGGAGGAAAACAGAAAACAGCTTCCAATTCCTAAACAGCAAGTACGCCAAACAGATGAGAGGCAGGCAGGCAGGTAGGCAAGCAGATCAGGTTAAGGAGTAGGGGGTGGAAACTCAGGACAAATCATTCTGAAACAAAACAGTGAGGCGCATCGTACAAATATTCTTCAAAACTTAATGGTTAATGCCTTGAATCAAGCTTTTTCACCTAGCACTTTTGCAATTCTGATGTGCAGTTTGCTAGAGAAAATTTCTGCAGGTATGGCCTTAATAGAGGTTTGTGTTTCTGTTCTGTCCGACTAGGAGAACGTGACTCAACGCCTCCCTCTGAGGCTGCCTAAGACCCGACATCTATGCTACAGAGCCTGGCTGCTCTGTGGTGGGTGACGGACTAACTAGATTCAGAAGATAGTGTTGGCACAGGGTGACGAGACAAGGGAAAGCGATCTTAGGGTCAACAACAGGGAGGCAGAGCTTGGGGCCAGCAGGAGAGAAAGGGAGAGGAGGCCTGATGGACAGTTAGCAGTGAAACATAAACTCACAAGAGGTGAGGCTTCGTGCACACAGAAAGAAGTGCATGAAGGGTAGAGAGCACCTCCAGAGGACGGGAGAGGACTCAGAACTTTTTACTTTTTTATCACTAAGGAGTTTTTGGCAAGAAGAGATTGGGATGGGGCTCTTACTGAAGTCAACTCTGTTGGTGCAGAAAACACCTAGAACTAAGCCCCTCTTCATTCAAGAGACTTGGGCCGTCTGGACCCCACCCAGCTCAGGCGCTGTGCATGTCAGGGCTTAACAATTGGCTACCTCTACTGCCACATGCCTTTCACAGCCACTTTTGGCCTCATGGGCGCCATGGACTTCTGCACTTGGGGTCTCATGCCTGGCCCAGGCCCTGCCTTCTTCTGGTAGGACACAGGTGTGGAGGGCTTACGAGAGCAGGGCTGTGGAAAACTGGCCGGGCCCAGCAGGTGTTGGACTTAGAAAACTTGCCACAGGCTGTCTTTTGGACAAATATAATTCTCTTCACCAGGGAGAGCAAATCTGGGGTAGGCACACTCCCACATACACACAGCAGAAGTTCCATGAAGCAATACTTCATCTTGCGATGTGAAATGTTCTCTGCTGGTATTTGTTTCTATTTTAGACTGTGCTATTCTTTTTCCCTTTTTTTCCCCCCTCATTTAATGAGCTATTATTTGAGCTCACTAAATTGATTTAATGCCATGACTTGTAATTTGAAGAAAACAACAACAGCATGGACTTAAGCAGGGGAATAGCTTTGGCAATGTTTTGCTTAACTTGCGCAAAGTTAACAACATGGCCAACTGGCTTAAAGAAATCATTTATTTAGGAACCAAAAGGTCTGATTTAGCTAAATGGAAACACTCACCTGGTCGGCCCAGCCAGCTCTGCAGGTCACTGTGGGCCAGACAGGGCGGCCGCTGGGGGCTGAGTGGCCTGGGAACCCAGTCAGCCGCCTGTGAGTGCTCACCTCCCCTGCGGGCGATGTTCCTCCGTAGCGCTCAGCAATGCTCTCCACTCCCTCGATGGGGCGACGTCTCGTGGGGATTTTGTGGCCTTGTTGGACCAGTTTGGCAACCATTACATCCAGGAAGCTGTCTACGGCTTTGAGGAGTCCTGCTCCATCTGGTACCCAAACAAGCAGGTCCAGCGGCGCCTCTGGCTGGAATACGAAGACATAAGCAAAGGTGAGTGACAGGGGCGTCGACACATTTGACACCCCGCGCATGTGCTGGTGGGCCAGGTGCAGTGGCGTGAACGGAAGCGGCCTGCAGGTGAGGGGCAGCGCGGGCGATGCCGTGTGCCTCTGTGCCGCCCTCAGTACCACCCGGGTTGGCTGCTAAAACCCAGTCTCGACGTGCAGGTGTGTGGGGGAAACTTCAGGTGCAGGTTGATCCCACGCAGTACGGCCACTGTGTCAGCTGTCACAGACAGAGCCCTCCAAGAGTTGGGAGCAGCCACCACGCCTTCTGCTACCACAGCAACGGCTGCTCTTCTGGAGGAGAGGAGAAGGGGGAGCCTACACAGTCTCCCCACACCTCCCGCGTCCTGCGGTCCCGGCCTTCCCTGCCTGGCCGGCCCTGGCCGCCTCTGCCCAGCACACCCCTCCGCACTCCATCCTGCCTTGTGTTTGCACCCGGTTTTGGTTTGCACTATGAGGGACTCTCCGTCGGCTCCAGATGCCGGCCTCACAAATACATCCTTGTCCACTGTCTGATGGCAGGCAGATTCCTCTTCGGTCCAGGTAAGGATAAGAAATTGGAGTTTTTTGAATCCTCTGAAGTTACCTGCTGGTAGAGGAGGAGTACTGGCTAGTTAATGTGTATTCTGACCAGGCAGGGCTGGTTCAGAGCTGCCATTCATGCCCCTTCTCCTCCTGAGCTAAGCCTCGTAGCAATTCTGACGAGGCCAAGCTGTGGGTGTGTGAGTTGCTAAAGGGCTAGTGATGAAATTAGCACAGCGGACACTCAACAAGTAGGTCATCCTAAGATTTAATGATCGAAGGACGGGGGACTCTGCTGTCCGTAGGCTGCAGTGGGGCAGGTGGTCCCCCGCGGCCGAGATGCACTTGGTTCTCTGCGCTCCACACAAACCCCTGTCTGGTCTTGCTCGAGGAATAGCAGAGGCCTGCGGCTGTCTCCTGGCTACTTGCCTCCGGAAGCAGCAAAAGACTCACGTCTGGGCTGTAGTCACTACAGGCCTTCCGTTCCCCCGCCCAAGGCCTGATTCCTCTAAACTCAGAGACACAAGCACGGGGTTCTGGTGACCCTTCACACTTCAGTGTCTTAAAATTGTTCAGCCAAAAAAGGGAGCGTAACAGAAGTAAATATAGATAAGACCAGTTACAGCTGACAAAGCTTTCTTCTGTTTCTGTGCCACAGCCTGGTGATTTAACCAAAAGGCTAAATCCTTGTGAATTTCTGATGAGGCCAGTGGTTCGAGGGTTGCCGGCAGTTCACGGTTGCTGGCCGCTGGGCTGCCGGGGGCTGAGTCCTACCCGCCCCCAGAGCTCCGGGGTCTCACCTGGCTTCTGTCCCCAGCATTACAGTGTCCTTGAGGTTGAACACAGACCAGCAGGGAGATCTGTCTGTGGCCTTGTCACTGTGCCCTACCCCTCTTGATCTCAAGCCACCTCACGACTGAGGAGCTAGACTTGTCACAGGCCAGCTGTGGACTCTAGCTCTGGTATATACGACCCCTGGCTTGTTGTTGATCTTAAAAGATAATCAGACATATTAGTATTTCTATTTTGATCTCTCTCAATTGTTCGTGTACACCGTCTCCTGTCCCCGAGTCTTATCTCTACATCATAGCATTTATCTTTCTTATTGTTTGGTCTGATTTTACTCTTCAATATTTTTGCTCTCCCCTAAGCACTCATTTCATTGTATTGCAGAAGCCTGCATGAAGGCATGCTACTGATAAGGACTTGTAAGTGTGTGAGACAAAGGAAGCATTTCTTGTGCACCCTGAGAGAACTGCTGCGTGACAGGATTTACCCCCTGGTGGAGACAGATGTCCTGAGAGATCCACACCTACCATGGCCTAAAAGTGACACCTTTCTGGCCATGGGTCCTTTGATCATAAGTCCTTGCCTGCTCTAACTTTTGAAACCTTTTAGTGGGAAGGATTTCTCTGTTCTTTTGTGTGTATGATCAGATACCTAAAATTGCTTACGGACAGGCTAGGAATGGAGGTTTTCAGGTGTGAGATGAAAGGAAGGAGCACAGGGCTTCAGGGTCAGGACTCTGGAATGTGCCAGGTGACTTCTGTTTAGCCAGCTCACTCTCGGGACCTCCTTTGTAATGCCTTTGGTGGCCCTGTCCAGCTCGAATAGTTTATGGGTCCTTTTGAGTCCCCCTTTTACATGAGAAGCTTCCTAGGGTCAGGCATTAGATGAAAGATTCCCCTCTTCCCTCGACGAATCACTGCAGAACTTCTCCTTTTATTCAGCCTCACACCCCCAGGGTCTAACCCAGAGCCAGGCGCAGGGTAAAAACTCGGCGACACTTTATTGTTGTGGTTGCCGCTGCTCTTGGTGACAGTGGTGGCATCGGGGATGGGAGTACGTTGAAGGCCCTTCCGACGTGGCGAAGGCCCACATGGAGTTCATCCCCGGCGCGGGAAAGGCTTTCGTTACACCTGACTGTAAACTCCGCGGTGGGTATTTTGGGCCAGATGTTCAGAAGGCCGCCTTTGATGCAGCAGGCACTTATTTGTCATAGTGTCACTCTGCGGTTTGTCCCTACCCACATGTAAGGACGACTGTCTCTAGATAAGTCTGACTGAAGTTGAAAGAACGGACTTCCGTTCCTCATTGTCTACAATTAGACCATCTTAGATATTTTCTACAGAGCAAATGAAGACTACCAGATGTGAAGTTTTCCAACTTCCCCGCCCTCCACTTCTAAACTTACATCTCTCTCTCTCACTGTCATTCCTTGCCTTCAGGGTGACCCCTTCACCTGTCCATGTGTCCCCTCCCCCTCTGCTTCCTCTTTGACGTCACGCATTCACTAGTTTCCTCCGTGTCAATCTTTCCAGCCTCTTCAGCCACGGAATTATCCCTTCCACAGCCTTGTAGCTTCCAAAGAAATAGTTTTATAAACATGTGACACCACTGTGTTCTCTTAACATATCACCATCAGATTTCTGGAGCAAGTAGATTGTGTCTTTTCTGTCCTTCCTCAACTTCTTTTTACTCTTCAAAGTATTTCTTTCAACCTCTTCACTCTGCAGAAGTAACAGTGGAGAAGGAAATCAAGGTTTCTTAATCAGAGGTTCACATTTCCCTTCTGTGGTCATTTTCTCTCTCTCTCTCTCAGCAGAAGAATTTGTCCATCTTGACCGGGTCTGCCGTCCTGAAATCCTCTCGCCTCAGTGTTCCTGATGCGCCCCTGTTAAGATTCTCTTCAGAAATCATCTCTCTCTCCCTTACCCCTACTCCTCTAAAGAAATTGTTTAGATTTTGGTCATTTTCCAAAGTTTTATATTTCATTCTTAATGTCCATCTGTTCTTCACTCTTTCTGGGTGCTTCTTTTCTATATCTGCCTCAACCTACATTTCTAAGTCTTCCCTTTTCTTAAGATTCAAAACCTCATGTGCTCTTGAGTGTTTAGTGTTTCTACTGGATGTTCTACAGGCACCTCAATGACCACAATCTCTTTTCTCTGTATCCACTAGTAGGTTCATGACCGACATGGATGGGTCAGAGCATTATGTGAAGAGTTGGTCTTGTTGCTCTTCTCCATCCTCCACATGCAACCATTTCTGGGGTTTTTTAGCACCTAAGTAGTTCTTCAACAGGCATCTTCTCTTGGCTATTTCCCAAAGTCACGTGCATTTACAGTTATCAGCTCTCATAAGAAGTGTTGCAGGGGTGCCCTTGCGTGCTTCCTCTTCTTCACTTTCCTTCCTCTCTCGTCCATTCCACATTTTGCCATCTCTTGTATTTTTTAAATGCCACTTAGTGCTGTGACTGTTCAGCTTGAAGCCCTTCACTGACTCCTCACTGCCTCCTTATCATGAGTGTGGCCTCACTTCCTATATTTGTTTTTTATGTTTGCTGTGACAAATTATTACAAACCTGTGGCTTAATACAGCTTAGTCCATTCTCTGACAGTTCTGGGGGCCAGAGGTCCAAAATCCAATGGACTCAAATCCAATCTTAGTTCCCATGGACTAAACTCAAGGTTTCAGTGTGGCTGTTTCCCTCTGGAGGCTCTAGGGCGGAACCCCTGTCCTTGTCCTTTCTACCTGCTGGAGGCCACCTGTGACCCTTGGCTTGCAGCTCCATCCTCCCTCTTCGAAATGCCTCACTCCCTTCTCTGAGTCCCATGGCCTCCTCTCCCTCGCTCCTCCTGACTCCTCCTGTGAGGGCTCCTGTGGTTATATTGGGCCCACCCAGCTAATCCAGGATCTACTTTCCCTCTCAAGAGTCTTAATTTAAGCATATCTACAGAATCCCTTTTGCCCTTGGCAAGTGACAGTCACAGGTTCCAGAGCTTAGAACTGAGCACCTTTGAGAGCCATTCTTCAGCTGCCCACGCCCTCTGCCCTCTGAGGCTGTGGCGTCACTGAGCGGGACGAGACGAGGCCACTTCCTGCCAGCCCCCAAGCCTAGCGTTTGCCCCCCGGCAGCTTCAGGCCTGAGGTGCGCGCCCTGTGCCGTCGAGGCCGCGCACATGCTCTCTGAGGTCTCCGTGACTGCTCTGTCTCACTCGGGAGGCTTCCCTCGGGCCCCTTGCGGGCCCTCCTCTTGGCTTTCTCTACCTTTCTCCTTCTATTGGTGTGTGTTCTGGGGCCCAGTGTCTGGGAGGATTTTCCTCTTTTTGGTCCCTTGGGGTCAGCAAATTAGTCTTCTTGGCTAGGATTTCTGTTTGTTCACTTGCGTTTTTTACTCTGCCTCCCTCCTCAGCTCTATACATTGACGTTTGCAATGAAATGATACCCTGTCCCAGGGTCAGGCTGTGGGTCCAGGCTCAGGGGGCCCCCTGGTTTGGCAGGGGGCATCGAGTCTTTTCCACACTCCTGAGCCTCGGTGTGTGTTGCCTGCCTAAACCGGTCCCCTGTCCTGCCTCCACTCTACCAGCTCCCCCGGCCGGCACTTCAGGGGCTGCTCAGCTGTCCCCGCCGCACACGACGCCTTCCCGACGCTCCAGGCAGCGCGCCTCGCGGCCTGTTTGG